TTTCTGGGACACAGAACTTCTCCCAGTTTTGGGGTGCCTGTGCCCATTTTTGGGGTTTCAGTGTTCATTTTTGGGGTGTCCGTGCCCATTTTTGGGGTGTCAGCTCTCAGATTGGGGTGAATTTACCCAATTTGGGGTTTTCTGTGCCCATTTCTGGAGCACAGAACTTCTCCCATTTTGGGGGTGTCCGTACCCATTTTGGGGTGTCAGTGCTCATTTTTGGGGTGTCAGCTCCCAGATTGGGGTGAATTTACCCAATTTGGGGTTTTCTGTGCCCATTTCTGGGGCACAGAACTTCTCCCATTTTGGGGGTGTCCGTACCCATTTTGGGGTGTCAGTGCTCATTTTTGGGGTGTCAGCTCCCAGACTGGGGTGAATTTACCCATATCGGGATTTTCTGTGCCCATTTTGGGGTTCCGAAGTTCATTTTTGGGGTGTCAGTGCCCATTTTGGGGTGTCAGTGCTCATTTTTGGGGTGTCAGCTCCCAGACTGGGGTGAATTTACCCAATTTTGGGTTTTCTGTGCCCATTTTTGGGTTCCAAAGTTCATTTTGGGGTGTCAGTGCCCATTTTGGGGTGTCAGTGCCCATTTTTGGGGTTCCAGCGCCCAGACTGGGGTGAATTCGCCCACTTTGGGGTTTTTATCCCCATTTTGCGGTGACCCCTGCCCGTCCCCCTGCCCTCACCCAACGTGGCCGCCGCGGGGCTCTGACGTCACACCGGGTGTGACCCTGACGTCACCACGTGGGCGTGACCCTGACGTCACCACACACACACACACAGGGCGCCCCCTGCCGGGGCACCGTGTCAGTGCCGGGGTGTCCCCGCCATCCCCGGGAGGTGACAGCGCTCAGGGGAGGGTGGCGCTGTCCCCGCGCCCCTCGGCGTCACCTCTGCCACCCCCGGCGGGGTTTGGTGGCCTTGGGGTGGCCCTGGGAATGTGGGGAATGAGCCCCCACCCCATTCCCGACGGGAATCCCATGGGATAAAGCCGGGCCCCCGCCCCCAGTGACCCCAAATCCCTCCCCCAGCGCCATTTGGGGTCCCCCGGTGTCCCCCCGGTCCTGCTGTCCCCACTGGGGACATTTTGGGTGCAGATCCCAAAGGAGCCCATGCTGGGAATCCTGCTGGGAATGGGAGTGGGGGGAGGGGAGAGGAGGGGATGGTCCTGGGGGAGCAGGGTGGGATGGACAGATGGACCCTGGGATGGACAGATGGACACTGGGATGGATGGACGGACACTGGGATGGATGGACGGACACTGGGATGGACGCTGGGATGGACGAATGGAGGGATGGATGCTGGGATGGAGGGATGGACACATAGAGGGATGGACACTGGGATGGACAAATGGATGCTGGGATGGAGGGATGGACAATGGGGTGGATGAATGGACAGTGGGATGGACACATGGACACTGGGATAGAGGGAGGGAAGGACGAACTCTGGGGTGGACAAATGGATGCTGGTATGGACAAATGGACGCTGGGATGGACGAATGGACACTGGGATGGACGAATGGATGCTGGGATGGAGGGATGGACACTGAGGTGGATAAATGGACAGTGGGATGGACACATGGACACTGGGATAGAGGGAGAGATGGAGAGATGAATTCTGGGGTGGACAAATGGATGCTGGGATGGAGGGAGAGATGGACAGTGGGATGGACAGGATCACGGACTGATGGACAATGGGATGGATGGACGGATGGACACTGGGATGGGCAGGGGCATGGAGAGGAGAATGTTGGGATGGACAGGGTCATGGATGGATGGATGGATGGACAAATGGACACTGCGATGGAGAGATGGACATTGGGATGGACAGGGTCATGGACAGATGGACAATGGGATGGGCAGGGTCATGGATGGATGGACACTGGAACAAGTGGATGGATGGACATGGCAGATGGACACGGCAACGCATGGACAGATGGACACTGGAATGGATGGGTGGATGGATGGATGGATGGATGGATGGATGGATGGATGATGGATGGATGGATGGATGGATGGATTGATGGATGGATAGATGATGGATGGATGATGGATGGATGGATGGATGATGGATGATGGATGGATGGATGGATGATGGATGGATGGATGATGGATGGATGGATGGATGGATGGATGGATGGATGATGGATGGATGGATGATGGATGGATGGATGATGGATGGATGGATGATGGATGGATGGATGATGGATGGATGATGGATGGATGATGGATGGATGATGGATGGATGATGGATGATGGATGGATGGATGGATGGATGATGGATGGATGGATGATGGATGGATGGATGATGGATGGATGATGGATGGATGGATGGATGGATGGATGATGGATGATGGATGATGGATGGATGGATGGATGGATGGATGATGGATGGATGATGGATGGATGATGGATGGATGGATGGATGATGGATGATGGATGATGGATGGATGATGGATGGATGGATGGATGGATGGATGGATGGATGATGGATGGATGATGGATGGATGGATGATGGATGGATGGATGATGGATGGATGGATGGATGATGGATGGATGATGGATGGATGATGGATGGATGGATGGATGATGGATGATGGATGGATGATGGATGATGGATGATGGATGGATGGATGATGGATGGATGATGGATGGATGATGGATGGATGGATGATGGATGGATGGATGATGGATGGATGGATGATGGATGATGGACGCTGAGATCAGTGCAGCTGTTGTTGGATGGACACCGGGGTGGACGAGATCATGGACAGATGGAGGGGGATGTGCACAGATGGATGTTGAGATGGACACCAAGGGTGGATGGACACAGGATGGACAGAGGGACACTGGGGACAGACAGATGGACACAGGGATGGACAGTGACACTGGGATGGAGGGAGATGTGCACAGATGGATGCTGAGGTGGACACGGGGACGGACAGAGGGTCACGGGGATGGATGGGGACAGGGATGGACAGACGGACACTGGGATGGACTGGAATGGACAGACAGAGGGACACAGGGATGGACAGATGGACACTGGGATGGAGGGGGATGTGCACAGATGGATGCTGAGATGGACACTGAGGATGGATGGACACGGGGATGGACGGGGACAGAGATGGATGGACACTGGGATGGACAGAGGGACACTGGGGTGGACGAGGACACGGACACCTGTGGGACCCCCGGGACCTTTTTGGGGTCCCCCTGGGTGTCCCTGGGCATTCAAAGGGGTCAGGGACACCCTGGGAGCGGTTCGGGGTCACCCCAAGGACGCATTGGGGTCACTTTGTGCCATCCCTTGCACCCCTTTGGGGACACATTGGGGTCACTGTGTGCCATCCCTTGCACCCCTTTGGGGACACATTGGGGTCACTTTGTGCCATCCCTTGCACCCCTTTGGGGACACATTGGGGTCACTGTGTGCCATCCCCGGCTCCCATTTGGGGTCACCCCGGGGTGTCCCTGGGGAGACATTGAGGTCACTTTGTGCCACCCCTGCCTCAGGTTTGGGGTCCCCCAGGGGACACATCGGGGTCACTCTTTGCCACCCCTGGCACCCATTTAGGGTCACCCCGGGGTATCCCGGGGGCTGGTTTGGGGTGTCACTGGGCCCTATTTGGGGTCATCTCGGGGCATCTTGGGGGACACATTGGGGTCACTTTGTGCCACCCCTGGCACTCGTTTGGGGCCACCCCAGGATGTCCCTGGGCCCTATTTGGGGTTACCCTGGGATATCTTGGGGGACACATTGGGGTCATTTGGAGCCATCTCTGGCACCCATTTAGGGACACTCAAGGGTATCCCTAGGGACACATTGGGGTCACTTTGTGCCATCCCTGGCACCTGTTTGGGGTCCCCAAAGGGGTGTCCCTAGGGACACATTGGGGTCACTTTGTGCCATCCCTGGCAGCCGTTTGGGGTCCCCCCAGGGTGTCTCGGGGGACACATTGGGGTCACTTCTCGCTGTCCCCGGGCCCCATTTGGGATTTCTCCGGGGGTCTCTCCCGGGGGTCTCCCCTCGGGGTGCCCGGCGCCCCCCTCGCGGCGCGGGGAGGGACCGCTCCTCCCCGGAATGATGTCAGCCTGGCCGGCCGCGGCCCCCGCCTCCCCCGGCGGCTCCGGCCCTGCCTCCCCGGGGAGGCGGCGGCGGCGGCGGCGGTGCCGGGATGGCCCGGGCCGGTGGGGCGGCGGCGGCGGCGGCGGCGGGGCGGCGGCAGCGAGCGCTGCTGCTGCTCATGGTGCTGCTGCCCGAGCCGGGCCGCCGGGGCCGGGCCGGGGGGCGGCGGAGGCGGCGGGGAGAGGGCGGCGATGGCGTTGCCGGGACCCCCGGGCCGCCCCCCGGCCGCCCGCTGCTGCTGCTGCTGCCGCTGCCGCCGCCGCCGCTGCCGCCGCTGCCTCCGCCCCCCCGCGCCGCCGCCGCCGCCGCCCGCCCGGTAACGGAACCGAGCCCCCGCCCCCGGCCGGGCCCCCCCGGCCGCCTCCACTCCTCCCCTGCGCCTCGGCCCTCCCTCCCTGCGAGCCTCCGTCCCTCGCTCCGCTGCCGCGCTCCATCCCTCCCTCCCCCGAGCCTCCCTCCATCCCTCCCTCCCCCGAGCCTTCCTCCAGCCCTCCTCTCCCTCCTTCCATTCCTCCACTCCTCCTCCATCCCTCCCTCCAGCCCTCCTCTCCCTCCCTCCATCCATCCCTCCACTCCTCCTCCGAGCCTTCCTCCCTCCCTCCTCCCTCCCTCCCTCTCCCCCCTCGCCTCCCCCCGCCCCTTCCCCTCCCCTCACTCGGCTCCGGGGCTCCTCCAGCTCCAACTTCTCGGGCTCTGCCCCCTCCTCCCTCCCTCTCTCTCCCTCCCTCCCTCCCTCTCCCCTTCCCTCCCTCCATCCCTCCCTCCGCAGATGCCGCTTCCCCGGCGGCCGGGACGGCGGCCCCGGGCACCTGCCCGGTGCTGATCCCGGGGCTTGGGGGGGCGGTTCCGGGGGCTCCCCCCTGAGCCCCCCGGTCATGTTCTCGGTGCAGGAGGCGCTGCCCCGGGGGGGGGTCCCCATGAAGGAGGAGCCGCTGAGCGCGGGGCTCCCCGCCGGCCGCTGGCTGCAGGGCACCGGCATCCTGGACGCCAGCACGGCGGCGCAGAGGTAAGGGACAGCCCGGGGACAGCCCGGGGACAGCCTGGGGACAGTTTTGGGGCAGCCCAGGGAGAGCCCGGCGGCTCCGGGGGCTGCGGGATGGACGCAAGCCGAGCTCCGCGGGCATCCCGAGGGCTCTGCGGGGCATCCCGAGGAATGCCGGGTTCCGCGGGAATTCCAGGGGCCGGGGGGTGTCCCAGGGGCTGTGGGCATTCCCGGTTTCTTATGGGTGTTCCGGGGGGGATCTGGATATCCCGAGCTCCTCGGGTTTCCCAGCTTCCATGGGCATTCCAGAGGCTGTGGGTATCCCAGGGCTGTGGATGTGCCAGGCTCTATGGGCATCCCAAAAATTCCAGGGGCATCCCAGGCTCTGCTGGTATCCCAAATTCCAGGGGCATCCCAGATTTTCCATGGGTATCTCGGGCTCTCGCTGGTATCCCAAATTCCAGGGGCATCCCGGGCTTTGCAGCCCTCCCGGGCACTGCGGGCATTCCAGGGGCATCCTGGGCTCTGGGAGCATCCTGGGATCCACGGGAATGGGAATTCCAGGTCCTGTGGGCATCCTGGGCACCCTGGGCATCAGCTGTGGGCATTCCAGGATATTCCAGGGGCTGTGGGAATCCTGGGTTTTGGGGGTGTCCTGGGATCCACAGGAATGGGAATTCCAGGTCCTGTGGGCATCCTGGGCATCAGCTGTGGGCATTCCAGGGCATTCCTGGTTCCGTGGGCATTCCGGGGTTCCTGTGTGTGCCCCCCAAGGTGTGCCCCCCCCCCCCCCCCCCCCCCATTTTTCCTGGCATTCCCTGGGCCTCTGAATCCCCTATCCCGGTGCCCTGGGCATCCTGGGATGCCCGTGGGTTTCAGCTGCCAGGGGTTTGTGCCAACGGGAATGGGGGCTGTGCCCATTCCTGCCTTTTCTGGGGGCTCAAATCCCATTCCCTGCCCTTTGGGGGGGCTCAAATCCCATTCCTGCCCTCCTGGGAACTCAGATCCCATTCCTGCCTTTTCCTGGGAACTCAGATCCCATTCCTGCCTTTTCTGGGGGGCTCTAATCCCATTCCCTGCCCTTTGGGGGGCTCAAATCCCATTCCTGCCTTTTCCGGGGAACTCAAATCCCATTCCCTGCCCTCCTGGGAACTCGGATCCTATTCCTGCCTTTTCCAGGGGGCTCAAATCCCATTCCCTGCCCTTTTGGGGACTCAAATCCCGTCCCTACCTTTTCCAGGGAACTCAAATCCCATTCCTGCATTTTCTGAGGGGCTCAAATCCCATTCCCTATCTTTTCCAGGGAACTCAAATCCCATTCCTGCCTTTTCCAGGGGGCTCAGATCCTATTAATTGCCCTTTTCCAGGGGGCTCAGATCCCATTCCCTGCCCTTTTGGGGGGCTCAGATCCCATTCCCTGCCCTTTTGGGGGGCTCAGATCCCATTCCCTGCCCTCCCTCAGTGTCCCCTCTCCCCTGTCCCTCTCTCCCGCCTGTGCCCGGAGGGGTCAGTGCCACCCCTGTCCCCTGTCCTGCTGTCCCCTCTGCCGGGTTTGGCGCATCCCTAAGGACACGCGGTGGCTCCCTGGGGTCCCCCCCAAAACTTTGGGATGCTGGAAAACCTCAGGGAATCCCCCCCAAACCCCAAAGGGACCCCAAAGCGCGGCCAGCCCCGCGGTGACAGCCACCGCCGGGGGTGACAATGTGACACAGCTGAGGGACAGCAGTGCCAGCTCCTGTGTCCCCAAAAACTCCCCGGGAGCCCCGCAGGGGGACAGGGGGGACACACCCGGGGCTGGCCTTGGTGACAGGGACGGGCGGTTTGGGGTGTCCCCACCCTGGCGACACCTGGGCGCGTGCCACCATGCTGGCAGTGCCACCGCGCGTGGGGACACTGCCCGAGGGGAGGCGCTCCCCTCACCCCACCAACACCAGCGTCCCCCCATGGCCACCGCAGTGTCCCCAAGGGGGTGGCACCGAGTTCCTGCTCTCCGGGCTGGCACCGGGACCCTCTCGAGCTCCCGTCCCGCAGTGTCCCCAAGGTTTGGCACCGAGCTCCGCGGTGTCCCCGCTCTGGGGTCCCCACAGCCCCCAGAGCCCCCCCGGGAGCCGCTTTAGGGCCGTGCCCGGGGCCGCCGCCGCTTTCCTGGAAGCGCCGGGGCCGCGGCTGCTTGGAAATGCTTGATTGCCTTTAATAATTAATTAACGCGGCGGGCGGGGCCGGCAGCGCGGGGGGGACACGGCGGGGGACAGCGGGGGACAGCGGCGACAGCCAGAGCCACCCCCGGCACCGGGGCCATTTGGGGCAATTTGGGGAATCTGTGGGGTTGGAAGGAGCCGCGGGCGCCGCTGTCCCGTTGTAGGGAGGGGACAGTGAGGGGACAGTGAGGGGACAGAGGTGTCCCCGCGGGGGTGGTGGGACCCTGAGAGCGAAGCCACCAGCGCGGGGAGGGGACAAGGGATGCGCCGTGGGTGTGGGGACATGATGTGACCCGTTTGGGGTGGCCGCGCACAGGTATTGTCACCTCGGCAGGTGTGGCCCCGCGGGTGACCCTAGGGACAATTTGGGACCCTGCGGGTGACCCTAGGGACAGTTTGGGACCCCCACATGTGACCCTGGGGACACTTTGGGACCCCGCGGGTGTCTCTAGTGACACTTTGAGACCCCGCGGGTGACCCTGGGGACAGTTTGTGACCCCCCACAGGTGACCCTGGGGACAGTTTGGGACCCCGCGGGTGACCCTGGGGACACTTTGGGACCCCGCGAGTGACCCTGGGGACACTTTGTGACCCCGGGGAGCAGCTGAAGGAGGTTGTCCTCAGAGAAATGTCCCCAGAGTGTCGCCAAGGGGCTGGGTTGGCGCGTGGCTGTGGCGGGGGTGACACTGGGGACCCGCTCCGCTGCCGCCGGGGGGACACCGAGGGGACAGGGGGGTGAGGACACGGTGACATTGATGGGGACTGTGCTGCGGCCATTGTCCCTGCAGTGGCTCCGCTGTCACTGTCCTGTCACCGCGGGTGTTGGGGCAGGGACAGCGGTGGTGACAGCGGCGAGCCCAGAGGTGGCACTGAGGGGTGGCTTGGGCGGGGAGGGCTCAGGGATGTCCCTTCTGTCCCCTTCTGTCCCTTGTGTCCCCGATGCCAGGGGCAGGGTGTCCCCATGTGTGTCCCCTACCCTGGACATGGAGGGGGTGCTGGGTGTCCCCCTCGTGGGGCCTTGGGGACAGGCTGGTGGCCTTGGGGACAGGATCCTGGGGGTCTTGGGGACAGGCTGGTGGCCTTAGGGACAGGCTGGTGGCCTTAGGAATGGGCTGGTGGCCTTGGGGACAAGCTGGTGGCCTTAGGGACAGGCTGGTGGCCCTGGGGACGGGGTCCTGGTGGCCCTGGGGACAGGATCCTGGTGGCCTTGGGGACAGGCTGGTGGCCCTGGGGACGGGGTCCTGGTGGCCCTGGGGACAGGATCCTGGTGGCCTTGTGGACAGGCTGGTGGCCCTGGGGATGGGGTCCTGGTGGCCCTGGGGACAGGGTGCTGTAGGTTTTGGGGGTCCTAGGACAGGGTGCCGGGGGTCCCAAGGACTGGATTTTGGGGTTTTGGGATTTGGGAATTTTGGGATTTTGGGGTTCTGGGAAGGGGTGCCAGAGGGGCGTCCTATGCAGGACGGTCTGCGGGTCCCGGTGCTGTTTTTGGGTGTCCCAATATTGGGGTGATGGGGATCCCCAGGATGGGGCACTGGTGTCCCATGGAGGAGATTTTGGGGGGTCTCCGGGATGGGGTTTAGGGGGGTCCCCAGGATGGGGTGCTGGGGTGCTGGTGTCCCATGGAAGAAGTTTTGGGGGGTCCTGGTACTGGAGGTCCCCAGGATTTGGGTTCTCGGCAATGAGGATCCCTGGAATGGGGTTTTGGGGGTTCCCGGTGCTGGGGGTCCCCGGGATGGGGTTTTGGGGGTTCCCGGTGCTGGGGTCCCCAAGAGGGGGTTTTGGGGGTTCTGTGTCCCATGGAGGAGGTTTTGGGGTTCCTGGGAATGGGGTGCTGGGGGTCCCCATGCCAGAGTGTTGGGGGTCCCCAGGATTTGGGTTCTTGGCAATGAGGATCCCTGGAATGGGGTTTTGGGGGTTCCCGGTGCTGGGGGTCCCCGGGATGGGGTTTTGGGGGTTCCCGGTGCTGGGGGTCCCCGGGATGGGGTTTTGGGGGTTCCCGGTGCTGGGGGTCCCCGGGATGGGGTTTTGGGGGTTCTGGTGTCCCACGGAGGGGGTTTTGGGGTTCCTGGGAATGGGGTGCCGGGGGTCCCCATGCCAGAGTGTTGGGGGTCCCCAGGATTTGGGTTCCCGGGGATGGGGATCCCCAGGATGGGGTGCTGGGGGTGCTGCTGTCCCATGGAGGAGGTTTTGGGGTTCCTGGTACTGGAGGTCCCCAGGATTTGGGTTCTCGGCAATGAGGATCCCTGGAATGGGGTTTTGGGGGTTCCCGGTGCTGGGGGTCCCCGGGATGGGGTTTTGGGGGTTCCCGGTGCTGGGGGTCCCCGGGATGGGGTTTTGGGGGTGCTGGTGTCCCACAGAGGAGGTTTTGGGGTTCCTGGGAATGGGGTGCTGGGGGTCCCCGTGTTGGGGAGTTCCTGAGGTTTAGTTTCCAGGTGGACCAGGATTGGGGTTCTTGGGGATGGGGATCCCCAGGATGGGGGAGCTGGGGGGGTCCTCGAGAGGGGGCACTGAGGGTTCCAGTCCTGGGGGACCCCTGGACGGGGTTTTGGGGGTTCCCGATGCTGGGGGTTCCCAGGACTGGGGTTCAGGGGGATGGGGATCCCGAGGATTTGGGTTCCCGGTGCTGGGGATCCCCAGGACTGGGGTTCTTGGGGTTTTGGAGTTCCCGGGGTTTTGGGGTTCTCGGGTTTTGGGGGTTTTGGGGGTTCCCGGTGCTGGGGATCCCCAGGACTGGGGTTCTCGGGGTTTGGGGTTCCCGGGGTTTTGGGGTTCCCGGGGTTTGGGGTTCTCGGGCTTTTGGGGTTCCCGGGTTTTGGGGTTCTCAGGCTTTTGGGGTTCTCGGGGTTTTGGGGTTCCCGGGGTTTGGTGTTCTCAGGGTTTTGGGGTTTCCGGGGTTTGGGGGGTTCTCGGGGTTTTGGGGTTCTCGGGGTTTGGGGTTCTCGGGTTTTGGGGGTTTTGGGGGTTCCCGGTGCTGGGGATCCCCAGGACTGGGGTTCCCGGGGTTTGGGGTTCCCGGGGTTTTGGGGTTCCCGGGGTTTGGGGTTCTCGGGCTTTTGGGGTTCCCGGGTTTTGGGGTTCTCAGGCTTTTGGGGTTCTCGGGGTTTTGGGGTTCCCGGGGTTTGGTGTTCTCAGGGTTTTGGGGTTTCCGGGGTTTGGGGGGTTCTCGGGGTTTTGGGGTTCCCGGCATTTGGGTTTCTCGGGGTTTGGGGTTCTCGGGTTTTGGGGGTTTTGGGGGTTCTCCGGTGCTGGGGATCCCCAGGACTGGGGTTCCAGGGGTTTGGTGTTCTCGGGGTTTTGGGGTTCCTGGGGTTTGGGATTCCCGGGTTTTGGGGGTTCCCGGGGTTTGGGGTTCCCGGGGTTTTGGGGTTCTCGGGCTTTTGGGGTTCCCGGGGTTTGGTGTTCTCAGGGTTTTAGGGTTCGCGGGGTTTTGGGGTTCCCGGGGTTTGGGGTTCTCGGGGTTTGGGGTTCTCGGGTTTTGGGGGTTTTGGGGGTTCTCCGGTGCTGGGGATCCCCAGGACTGGGGTTCCCGGGGTTTGGTGTTCTCGGGGTTTTGGGGTTCCCGGGGTTTGGGATTCCCGGGTTTTGGGGGTTTCCGGGGTTTGGGGTTCCCGGGGTTTTGGGGTTCTCGGGCTTTTGGGGTTCCCGGGGTTTGGGATTCTTGGGGTTTGGGATTCCCGGGTTTTGAGGTTCCCGGGGTTTTGGGATTCCCGGGTTTTGGGGGTTCCCGGGGTTTGGGGTTCCCGGGGTTTTGGGGTTCCCGCTGCCGGGACTGTGGTCATGTTGCTGTCGCGGCTGTCCCCACACCGTGGCCCTGTCGCAGCGGGGTGTCGCTGGCCCGCGCTCACTTCGAGAAGCAGCCCCCGGCCAACCTGCGCAAGTCCAACTTCTTCCACTTCGTGCTGGCCATGTACGACCGCCAGGGCCAGCCCGTGGAGGTGGAGCGCACCTGCTTCATCGACTTCGTGGAGAAAGAGCGGGTGAGAAACCCCAAAAAAAACAACCCCAAAGCCGCCCCAAAACCTTGAAACCACCCCCAAAAAAAAGCACCAAAAAAAACCCACCAAAAAAAAAACCCAAAACCCCGAAACTGCCCCAAAACCTCCCGCGGGGCCGCCCCCACTCGCAGTCGCGGTGAGGCCGGAGCGCGACCCCAAATCGTGGCACGAGCGACCCCAAAACGGTGTGGGAGGGACATGGAGTGACCAGGAGGGGACATGGAGTGACCAGGAGGGGGACATGGAGTGACCGGCTGACCCCTGGCCGTGGATTTTGTCCCCCAAACCCCTCAAGGAGCAGAACGGGGAGAAAACCAACAACGGGATCCACTACCGGCTGCAGCTGCTCTACAGCAACGGTGCGCCAGGGGCTTTGGGGGTTCCGTGCGGCCTTTGGGGTGTCCCCAAGGGAAGGCGACAAGCAGGGTGACCCCTCCGGTGTCCCCGCAGGGCTCCGCACCGAGCAGGATTTGTACGTGCGCCTCATTGACTCCATGTCCAAGCAGGTACCGAGACCCCCCAAAAATCCCCCCCAAAAAAAATCCCCCCCCCAAAAATTCCCCCCCCCGGCCCCACCCGCCGGTGACATCTGGATGTCGCCGCGGCCACACCTGGCCGAGGGCGGGGAGGTGGCGCAGGTGACGGGGCTCGGGAGCGCCTCCCCGGTGCCACCCCGGTGTCGCGGCTGTCCCCTCGGTGTCCCCTCCAGGCCATCATTTACGAGGGGCAGGACAAGAACCCCGAGATGTGCCGGGTGCTGCTGACGCACGAGATCATGTGCAGGTGACAGCCGGGGGGTGACAGGGTGTCCCCAAGGTCCCTTCGGTGCCAGCTCGTGGTCACCGAGCCCGGGCTCATTAACGAGCCGAGGCAGCGCCGCTAATTGATCCCGCGACAGGGGACAGGCCATCCCCGGCGTCCCCTCGTGCTTGGGGACTGCGGGTGGCCCTGCCGTGTCACCTGGGGGGGACACGGAGTCTCGGGGTGGGTCCCCAACCCCTTCAGAGCCACCCAAGGGTGACAGGGATGGGTCCCCAACCCCTTCAGAGCCACCCAAGGGTGACAGGGATGGGTCCCCAACCCCTCAGAGCCACCCAGGGGTGACACAGAGTCCCCGGGACCCCCAAATCTGTCCCCAGCCCCATAAAGGGGTGGCAAAGTGCCATCCCTGAGTGTCCCCTCCGCTGTGTCCCCTCCCTGCTGTCCCCTCTGTCCCCACCCCTGAGTGACGGGGCAGTCCCAGGGTGGGACACGGGGACCTGGCGTGTCCCCCCCGGGGTTTGGGGGTCCCTGAGCTCTCACTGTCCCCTGATGCCACCTGCTGTCCCCTGATGTCACCTGCTGTCCCCTGATGTCACCTGCTGTCCCCTGTCCAGCCGCTGCTGTGACAAGAAGAGCTGCGGGAACCGCAACGAGACCCCCTCGGACCCCGTCATCATCGACAGGTGTGGGGGACATCGGGGACATTGGGGACATCAGGGACACTGGGGACATCTGGGGACACGGGGGACCTCATGGTGGCCTGGAGGGGGTGGCAGCCACCGGCAGTGTCCCCAAGCTTGGGGACAGGATGCTGATGAGCCGAGGGACAGCAGAGGGCACTCCGGTGTCCCCAGGGGGTGACAGATGTCACATCAATAATGGAGGTGGCACCGGGCGCGTTGGGGACATCCCAGGGTGGCCGTGTCCCTGTGGTCCCTCTGTCCCTGTCCCCACCGGGGTCCTTCCTGCCTGTCCTGGTGTCACCTCCCTGGTGCCACCGAGCCAAGCCCAGGGTTGTCACTTGTCCCCTTGTCACTGCCATTGTCCCCGTGTCCCCTGTCACGCAGGTGTCCTGGGGCTGTCCCCACGATGGCGCTTTTGGGGTCACAGGACCCCCCTGGGGCCGGTGTCCCCTTGGGAGGTGACACCCTGATGGTTGGTGGCCGTGTCCCAAATGTCCCAAATGTCCCAAATGTCCCTGCGTGCCCCCCTCAGCCTCAGGACTTCTGGGGGGTCCCCCAGTGCCAGGCGTGTCCCCCAACCCTCCCCAGGACTTTTGGGGTGTCCCCTGTCCCCATTCCCAGGACTTTTGGGAGCCACCCAGAACTTTTAGGGAGTCACCCAGTGCCAGGTGTGTCCCCAACCTGTCCCCCCCCATCCCCAGCATTTTTGGGGTGTCCCCTGTCCCCAGTCACAAGACTTTTGGGGTGTCCCCAACCCACCTCAGGAACTTTTGGGGTGTCTCCATCCCCAGCACTTTTGGGGGGTCACCCACTTGCAGGAGTGTCCCCAACCCACCCCAGCACTTTTAGGGTGTTCCCTCTCCCCATCCCCATCACTTTCGGGGTGTCCCCAGTCCCCTGTCCCCATCACTTTCGGGGTGTCCCCAATCCCCTGTCCCCGTCACTTTTGGGGTGTCCCCAATCCCCTGTCCCCATCACTTTTGGGGTTTCCTCTGTCCCCATCCTCGTCACTTTAGGGGTGTCCCCAACCCGCCCCAGGACTTTCAGGATGTCCCCTGTCCCCATTACTTTTGGGGTGTCCCCAATCCCCTGTCCCCATCCCCATCACTTTCGGGGTGTCCCTTGTCCCTTTTGGAGTGTCCCCTGTCCCCATTCCCGTCACTTCTGGGGTGTCCCCACCCTATTCCACTCACTTTTGGGGTGCCCCCATCCCCATCACTTTCGGGGTGCCCCCAACCCGCCCCAGGATTTTTGGGGTGTCCCCTGTCCCTATCCCCATCCCTTTTGGGGGATCATGCAGTTCCAGGCATGTCCCCAACCCGTCCCCCCCATCCCTGTCACTTTTGGGGTGTTCCCTCTCCCCATTCACAACACTTATGGGGCGCCCCCATCCCCATCACTTTTGGGGTGTCCCCCATCCCCTGTCCCCATTCCCATCACTTTTGGTGTGTCCTCTGTCCCCATTCCCGTCACTTTTGGGGTGTCCCCTGTCCCTTCTGGAGTGTCCTCTGTCCCCATCCCCATCACTTTTGGGGTGTCCCCGCCCCATTCCAGTCACTTTTGAGGTGTCCTCTGTCCCCATTCACAACACTCTTGTGGTGTCCCCATCACTTTCAGGGTGTCCCCATGTCCCCATTCCCACCCCTTTCGGGGTGTCCCCTGTCCCCATCCCCGTCACTTTTGGGGTGTCCCCAATCCCCTATCCCCATCCTGATCACTTTTGGGGCATCCCCTGTCCCCGTCACTTTTGGGGTGTCCTGTCTCCCCATTCCAGTCACTTATGGGGTGTCCCCATTCCCATCCCTTTCGGGGGGTCATGCAGTTCCAAGCATGTCCCCAACCTGTCCCCCCCCCATCCCTATCACTTATGGGGTGTCCCCTGCCCCCCTCCCTGTCACTTTTGGGGTGTCCCCTATCCCCATTCACAACACCTCTGGGATGTCCCCATCCCCATCCCCATCACTTTTGGGGTGTCCCCAATCCCCTCTCCCCACCCCCATCCCTTTCAGGGCGTCCCCTGTCCCCATCCCCATCCCTTTTGGGGTGTCCCCTGTCCCCATCCCCGTCACTTTCGGGGCGTCCCCTGTCCTCATCCGCATCACTTTTGGGGTGTCCCCCATCCCCATCATTTTGGGGTGTCCCATGTCCCCATCCCCATCACTTTTGCGGTGTCCCTGTCGTCATCCCCATCAGTTTTAGGGTGTCCCCAGTCCCCAGCCCCATCCCTTTTGGGGTGTCCCCAACCCGCCCCATCACTTTTGGGGTGTCCCCAATGTCCTGTCCCCATCCCTGTTCCTTTCAGGGTGTCCCCTGTCCTCATCCCCATCACTTTTGGGGTATCCCCATCCCCATCCCTTTTGAGGTGTCCCCAATCCGCCCCAGGACTTTTGGGGTGTCCCCATCCCCGTCCCTTTCGGGGTGTCTCCTGTCCCCATCACTTTCAGGGTGTCCCCGTCCCTTTCGGGGTGTCCCCTGTCCCCATCCCCATCACTTTTGGGGTGTCCCCTCTTCCCATCCCCATCCCTTTCGGGGTGTCTCCTGTCCCCATCCCCATCCCTTTCGGGCTGTCCCCTGTCCCCATCCCCATCAGTTTTGGGGTGTCCCCTGTCCCCGTCCCTTTCGGGGTGTCCCCCGTCCCTTCCGGGGGGGTCACGCAGGGCCAGCCGCGTCCCCAGCCGTGTCCCCAGCCCCCCCTGTCCCCCGTGTCCCCGTGTCCCCCCCCGGGCCAGCCCCGCTGGTTTGAGAGCGCGCTAAGTGCCCCTCTCGCGGCGTTAATCAAATTACCCGGCTGCGAAAATTGACGCTTCTCATTAATTAGCCACGATTATGCTAATTGCGCATTCAAATTTATGCGCCGCGAGCAGAAGGTGCTCGGCAGCGGCGCCGGGCATTTGCATATTCAATGGTAATTAGCGATGCTAATTAATGCGCCGGCCCCGTATTTTTAACTCGCGGGGGTTCAGCCCCAGCCCCCCTACCTGGGGCTGGGATTTGGGGGGTTTAGGGGGGAATTTGTGGGGTTTTTTTGGGGGATTTGGGGCTCCCCCGCGGCCGCGCTGTGCCGGGAGTGGCGGGGCCGTTTTTGGGGCGTTTTCCCGCCGTTTTGGGGGCGTTTTTGGGGTGTTTCCCGGCGTTTTCCAGCTTCTCCATCGCCCTGATGGCCACCCGCGGGGCGGGAATGGGATTATGGGAATCTGGGGAATGGGGGGAACAGGTGGGACCCCCTTTCTGTGGGGTCGGGACCCCCTCAGTGTGAGATCCCTTTTTGTGGGGTCCCCCTTTTCCATGGGGTCCTAGAAATGAGATCCCCTTTTTGTGGGATCCCCTTTTTGTGAGATCCCCCTTTCCATGGGGAGCCCCTCACTGTGGGATCCCCCTTTTTTTTTGAGATCCCTCTTTTCCATGGGATTCTCTAAATGAGATCCCTTTTTGTGGGATCCCCCTTTTCCATGGGGAGCCCCTCGCTGTGGGACCCCCATTTCATGGGATCTGCTTTTTGTGGGATGCCCCTTTCCATGGAAGCCCTTTTTCATGGGATCCCTGTTCCCAAAATCCTCTTTCTGTGGGACCCTTTTTTGTGGGATTCCCTCATCCATGGGATCCCCATTCCCTTTCCATGGGATCCTCCCCTCCATGGCAGTTCCTTTTTATGGGATGCCCTCCCCATGAGATCCCTTTTTGTGGGATCCCCTCATCCATGGGATCCCCTGATTTGTGGGATCCCCTTTTCCCTGTGATCCCCTCATCCATGGGACCCCTTTTTTGTGGGATCTCTTTCCCTGGGACCCCCTCTCTGTAGGAACAACTTTCCCTGGAAACCCCTTTTCTATGGGATCCCCGTTCTCTGGGATCCCCCTTTCCATGTAACCCCTTTTTTGTGGGATCCTTTTCCCCCATGACCCTTTTTTTGTGGGATCCCTTTTTGCAGGATCCCCTTTTTGTGGGGTCCCTGGGATCCTTTTCCCCCCGGGGACCCTTTTTTCCTGGGATCCCCTTTTTGTGGGATCCCCTCTGCCTGAGACCCCTTTTCCGTGGGATCCCCTTTTTTTGGGACCTGCTTTTTGTGGGATCCCCCTTTCTTTTGGGACCCCCTTTTTCTGGGACCCCCTTTTTTTGTGAGATCCCGCTTTCCTGGGACTCCCTTTTTATGGGATCCCCTTTTCATGTGAACCCTTTTCTGCGGAATCCCCATTCCCTGGGACCCCCTTTTTTGTGGGATCCCCCTTTTTATGTGTCCTCTTTTTATGGGATCCACTTTCCATGTAACCCCTTTTTTTGTGGGATCCCCATTCCCTGGAATCCTCCTCCGTGTCCCCCCAGCCTGACCCGGGGCTGAGCCCACTTGGGGTCCCTCAGATGTCCCCAAACCCTGTGTGACCCCAAGGACGGGCCCAGGAGTCCCCAGTGTTCCCAGGGACCCTGGTGTCACCCCCAGTGGGATGGGGAGAGGGAGGGACTCTGGGATGGGGACACTGGGATGGGGACAGGGAGGGACATGGGATGGGAACCTGTGTGTCCTCCACCCCGTTGTCCCCAACAGTGTCGCCAGTGCCGTGTCAAGGGGGACACTGGGGTGGGATGGGACAGTGGGACTGGGACAGGGTGGCACAATGGGATGGGGACAGAATGGGACATGGGGATGGGGACAGTGGGATGGGGACAGGGTGACTTTGTTGGTTGGGGACAATGGAAGAGGGACAGGATGGGGACACTGGGTTGGGGACACTGGGCTGGGGACAGGATAGGGACACCAGGATGGGGACACTGGGATAGAGATGGGGACACTGGGATGGGGACAGGGAGGGACACTGGGAAGGGGACACTGGGATGGGCATGGGGACAATGGGATGGGGACAGAATTGGACAGGGATGGGGACAGGATGGGGACATTGGGATGGGGACAGGATAGGGACAGAATGGGGACACTGGGATGGGGATGGGAACGCCGGGATGGGGACAGGATGGGGACACCAGGATGGAGATGGGGACACCGGGATGGGGACAATGATGGGGTGGTGACAGGAAGGGACAGCAGAACGAGGACAGAACGGGACATTGGGGTGGGGACACCATGGGGACACTGAGATTGGGGACACTGGGATGGGGACAATGATGTCTTGGTGACAAGAAGGGACAGCAGAATGGGGACACAATGGGACATTGGGATGGGGACAGAATGGGGACACTGGGATGGGGATGGGGACACCGGGATGGGGACACCAGGATGGAGATGGGGACACTGGGATGGGGACAATGATGGGGTGGTGACAGGAAGGGACAGTAGAATGAGGACAGAACGGGACATTGGGATGGGGACACTGAGATTGGGGACACCATGAGGGACACGTTTGTCCCCTCTTTTTTCCCCCCCCCAAAAAAACCAAAAAATTTCAGGTTTTTCCTCAAGTTTTTCCTCAAGTGCAACCAGAACTGCCTGAAGAACGCCGGGAACCCGCGGGACATGCGGCGCTTCCAGGTGACACTTGGGGACATCACCGAGAGGGTGGAGGGGACACCAGAAAGGGGTGTAAGAGACCCAAAAGGATTCCCCAAAGGGGTCGAGGGGAATTGGGGGCTCGATTCCCCCCGTTCGGGGGGAATCGAGCCCCCAATTCCCCTCGACCCCTTTGAAAAATCCTAAATTTACCGCTACCCTAAAAAATCCACCGCCGCCCTATAAAAAACCCCAAATTTTGACCCCAAAAAGGGGTGCGGGTGACCCCAAAAGGATTTCCCAAAGGGGTTGAGGGGAATCAAGTCTCCAATTCCACTCAAACCCCTTGAAAATCCCAAATCCGCTGCCACCACCCTAAAAAATCCACTGCCACCCTATAAAAGGTGACAATTCGAGGCGACGCTTGGGGACACCACAGATAGGGTGGAGGACACCCCAAAAAGGGTTTAAGGTGACCCCAAAAAGATTTCCCAAAGGGCCCGAGGGGAATTGGGTCTCCAGTTCCAATTGATCCCTTTGAAAATCCCAAATCTACCGCCGCCCTATAAAAGGTGACACTTCCAGGTGACACTTGGGGGCATCATGGAGGAGATCCCAAAAGGGGGTGCAGGTGACCCCAAAAAAGATTTCCCAAAGGGGTCGAGGGGAATCGAGCCCCCAGTTCCCATCAACCCCTTTGAAAATCCCAAATTTACCGCCACCCTAAAAATTCCATCGCCACCCTATAAAAGGTCACACTTGGGGACATCACCAAGAGGGTGGAGGAGATCCCAAAAAGCGTTTCAGGTGACCCCAAAAAGATTTCCCAAAGGGTTCGAGGGGAATTGGGTCCCCACTTTGCCTTGACCCCTTTAGGAAATCCCAAATCTGCCACTGCTCTATAGAAGGTGAAGCTTCCAGGTGACATTTGGGGACATCATGGAGGAGATCCCAAAAAGGGTTTCAGGTGACCCCAAAAGGATTCCCCAAAGGGTCCAAGGGGGTTTGGGGACTCGATTGCTCTTGACCCCTTTGAAAATCCCAAATTTACCGCCACCCTAAAAAATCCACCGCCACCCTATAAAAAAACCCAAATTTTGACCCCTAAAAGGGGTTCATCTGACCCCAAAAGGATTTCCTAAAGGGGTTGAGGGGAATCAAGTCTCCAATTCCCCTTAAACCCCTTGAAAATCCCAAATCCGCTGCCACCACCCTAAAAAAATCCACTGCCGCCCTATAAAGGGTGACAATTCGAGGTGACGCTTGGGGACACCACAGATAGGGTGGAGGACACCCCAAAAAGGGGTTCAGGTGACCCCAAAAAAGATTTCCCAAAGGGTCCAAGGGGAATCAAGTCCCCAGTTTGCCTCGACCCCTTTGAAAAATCCCAAATCCACCACCACCCTAAAAATCATCTACCACCACCCTATACAAACACCCCCAAATTTCAACCCCTAAAAGGTGGAGCGAGGTGCGGGCGACCCCAAAAGGATTCCCCAAAGGGGCCGAGGGGAACTGGGGACTTGATTCCCCCTGAACGGGGAAAACCCCTTTAGGGTTTCCCTGGGATTCCCCCCACACCCCTTTAGGGTCACCCTCACTCCCCCAAATTCCCCCCAAGAGACCCCAAACCCCCTTGAGACCCCCTCGGGACCCCTCCAGGAGACCCCAAACCCCTTTTAGGGTCACTCCCAATCGCCCAAATTCCCCCCAGGGAAATCCAAACCCTTTTTAGGGCCACCCCCTAAGGGACCCCCCTTCCAGGCCCTTTTTAGGGTCACCCTCACTCCCCCAAATTGCCCCCAAGAGACCCCAAACCCCTTTTAGGGTCACCCCTTCAGGGACCTCCCCAAACCCCTTTTAGCGTCACCCCAAGACCTCCAAGTTCCCCCCAGGGAAACCCAAGCCCCTTTTAGGGTCACCTCCAGCCCCGCCAAATCCCCCGCAAGAGACCCCAAACCCCCTTAAAACCCCCTCAGGACCCCTCCAGCAGACCCCAAACCCGCTTTAGGGTCACCCCCAGTCCCACAGATTCCCCCCAGGGGACCCTAAACCCCTTTTAGGGCCACGCCCTCAGGGACCCCCCTGCCCAAACCCGTTTTAGGGTCACCCCCAGCGCCCCAAATCCCCCCAGGAGATCCCAAACCCCTTCGAAACCCCCTCAGGACCCCTCCAGAGGACCCCAAACCCCTTTTAGGGTCACCCCCAGCCCCCCCAAATCCCTGCAAGAGACCCCAAACCCCCTCAGGACCCCTCCAGCAGACCCCAAACCCGCTTTAGGGTCACCCCCAGTCCTACAGATTCCCCCAGGGGACCCCAAACCCCTTTAGGGTTCACCGCCAGTCCCACAGATTCCCCCCAGAGGACCCCAAACCCCCTTGGAAACCCCCTCAGGACCCCTCCAGCAGACCCCAAACCCCTTTTAAGACCACCCCCACTCCCCCAAATTCCCCCCCGGGAAACCCAAACCCCTTTTAGGGCCACCCCTTCAGGGACCCCCCTGCCTAAACCCGTTTTAGGGTCACCCCCAGCCCCCCAAATCCCCCCAAGAGACCCCAAACCCCCTTGAAGCCCCCTCAGGACCCCTCCAGAGGACCCCAAACCCCTTTAGGGTTCACCCCCAGTCCCACAGATTCCCCCCAGAGGACCCCAAACCCCCTTGGAACCCCCCTCAGAACCCCTCCAGCAGACCCCAAACCCATTTTAAGACCACCCCCACTCCCCCAAATTCCCCCCAAACCCCTTTTAGGGCCACCCCATCAGGGACCCCCCTGCCCAAGCCCTTTTAGGGTCACCCCCAGCACCCCCAAATCCCCCCCAAGAGACCCCAAACCCCCTCGAAGCCCCCTCAGGACCCCCTCCAGCAGACCCCAAACCCCTTTTAGGGCCACCCCCATTCCCCCATCCCCTAAAAGGGAACCCCCCCGGCCCCCCCGTTATTCCCGTCCCCCCCTGATCCCACAAACCCCACAGATCCCCCCCCCCCCCTTTTCCCGCCGCTCTCCCGCCGCCGGTGCCGCGATGCAAATGGGGTCGTTAATCACCGAAATGTCATAATTAACATCTCGTTAGCGAGCCCTGATGAACTTCGGGGGGGGCCAGGACCCAGCTGCGACCGGGGAAGGGGGGGGAGGTTGGGGGGGGGGGGGAGAGCGGAGATTTTTGGGGTTTTCAGGCCGGATTTGGGGTTTTTTTATAGGGCGGCGGTGGGATTTGCAGGGTGGCGGCGGATTTGGGGTCTCTCAAAGGGGTCGAGGGATTTGGGGGGAATTTGGGGGAGTGGGGGTGACCCTAAAATGGGTCTGGGGGGGGTCGGGTCCCTTTAGGGGGCGGCCCTAAAAAGGGTTTGGGTTTCCCTGGGGGGAATTTGGGGGGCTGGGGGTGACCCTAAAAGGGGTTTGGGTTTCCCTGAGGGGAACTTGGAGGTCTTGGGGCGACCCTAAAAGGGGTTTGGGGGGGTCCCTGAAGGGGTGGCCCTAAAAGGGGTTTGGGGTCTCCTGGAGGGGTCCTGAGGGGGCCTCAGGGGGGTTTGGGGGGATTTGGGGGAGTCAGGGTGGCCCTAGAAGGGGTTTGGGGTCCTCTGGGGGGACTTTGGGGGAGTGAGGGTGACCCTAAAAGGGCCTGGGGGGTCCCTTAAGGGGCGGCCTTAAAAAGGGTTTGGGTTTCCCTGGGGGGAATTTGGGGGCGTGGGGGTGACCCTAAAAGGGATTTGGGGTGTCCTGGAGGGGCTGGGGCAGGGAAGACCTGGGGGAATTTGGGGCTCTGGAGGTGACCCTAAAGGGGGTTTGGGGTCTGCTGGAGGGGTCCTGAGGGGGCTTCAAGGGGGTTTGGGGTCACTTGGGGGAATTTGGGGGACTGGGGGTGACCCTAAAAGGGGTTTGGGTTTCCCTGAGGGGAACTTGGAGGTCTTGGGGTGACCCTAAAAGGGATTTGGGGAGGTGCCTTAGGGGGTGACCCTAAAAGGGGTTTGGGGTCTCCTGGAGGGGTCCTGAGGGGGCCTCAGGGGGGTTTGGGGGAATGAGGGTGGCCCTAAAAGGGGTTTGGGGACTTGGGGTGACCCTAAAAGGGGTTTGGGGACCCCTGGGGGGGTTTGAGGTCCCCTGGGTGTTCCCTGAGTGTCCTGGGGAAGGAGCTCGGCAGCCTGGGGGGGTCCCTGGGGGGGCTGGTGACCCCAGGATGGGGGGGCCACCCTCGGGCCACTGCTGTGACACCATGGGGACACCACAGGGACACCATGGGGACACCACAGCCGGAGCCCACTGTGGTGTGACAGGGATGGGGACACCATGGGGACACCACATACAATGTTCCTGAGGTGTGACAGGGATGGGGACACGATGGGGACATAGTGGGGACACCACACTCAGTGCACACATTGTCCCTGTGGTTTGACAGGGCTGTGACAGGGGTGGGGACACCATGGGGACATCATGGGGACACCACACACAGCGTCCCTGCGGTGTGACAGGGGAGGGGACACCCCTGTGACACTACAGGGACACGGCACCCAGTGGCCCTGTGGTGTCCCCAGCTGTGGTGTCCCCACCACAGGGTGAGCGTGTCCCCTGTCCCCGCAGGTGGTGGTGTCCACCACGGTGCACGTGGACGGCCACGTCCTGGCCGTGTCTGACAACATGTTCGTCCACAACAACTCCAAGCACGGCCGGCGCGCCCGGCGCCTCGACCCCTCCGAAGGTCAGGGGACACCTGGGGACATCGTGGGGACATCTCGGGGACAGGCGTTGGGACCCTGCCAGCGTGGCCTGGCACCCCTGGGGCGATATCTGTGTCCCCACCCTGCTGTCCCCAATGTTTGTGCTCATCCGTGGTTGGGTGTCTGTGGGTTCCTCCCCATCTGTGTCACTGTGGCCACCTGGGGACATCTTGGGGACATCTTGGGGACATGTGTTGGGACCCTGCCAGTGTGGCCTGGCACATCTGGGTGATCCCTGCTGTCCCCACCCTGCTGTCCCCAATGTCTGGTGGGCCTATCCATGGGTGTCTGTCCCCATCCATGTCACCATGACCACTTGGGGACAAGTTTTGGGACCCTGCCAGCATGGCCTGGTACGCCCTGGGGCAATACCTGTGTCCCCACCCTGCTGTCCCCACCTGCTGTCCCCAATGTTTGTGCTCGCTTATGGTTGGGTGTCCATGGGTTCCTCCCCATCTGTGTCACTGTGGCCACCTGGGGACATCTTGGGGACATCTTGGGGACATGTTTGGGACCCTGCCAGCGTGACCTGGCACGCCCCAGGTGTCCCCAGTGTCCCCACCCTGTGTCCCCACCTGCTGTCCCCAATGTCTGGTGGGCCCATCCATGGGTGTCTCTGTCTCCATCTGTGTCACCATGGCCACCTTGGGGACATCCTGGGGACAAATTTTGGGACCCTGCCAGCGTGGCCTGGCACCCCCTGGGGTGATAGCTGTGTCCCCACCCTGCTGTCCCCACCCTGCTGTCCCCAATGTCTGGTGAGCCCATCCATGTGTGTGTCTGTCTGTCCCCACCTGTGTCACTGTGGCCACCTTGGGGACATCTTGGGGACAAGTTTTGGGAGCGCCTGGCCTGGCACCCCCCGGGTGATCCCTGTGTCCCCACCCTGCTGTCCCCAAGTGTCCGTGCCCGTCCATGCTGGGTGTCCGTGGGTGCCTCTGTCCCCACCTGTGTCACCGTGGTCACACGTGCGTGTCCCCAGCCACGTCCATGTGGCCATCTGTGATTGTCACCATCTGTGTCCTTATGTCTGTCCCCAGTCGTATCCCTGTGGCCATTTATGTGTCCCCAGCCATGGCCACGTCCCTGTGTCCCCATATCTGTCCCAATCCATGTCCGTGTCTGTCCCACTCCATGCCCTCATGTCCCCATCCATGTCCATGTCCCCATGTCTGTGCATGTCCATGTCCCCGTACCTGTCCCTGTGTCCCCACGTCTGTCCTCATCCATGTCCATGTCCCCATTCCTGTCCCTGTGTCCCTATGCCTGTCCCCATCCATGTCCATGTGTCCCTGTGTCCCCATGTCTGTCCCCATTCCATGTCCATGTCCCCATGCCTGTTCCCTCTTCCCTGTCCCCCTCCACCCCTCTGTTCTCGCAGTCACTGTCCCAGTTCTGCCACCCCTCTGTCCCCACCCCTCTGTCCCTGTCCCCCTCCATCCCTCTGTCCTTGTCCTTTCCACCCCATTGCTGTTCCTGTCCCCTCCACCCCATCTCTGTCTCTGTCCCTCTGTCACTGTCCCCTCCATCCCTTTGTCCCTGTCCCCTCCACCCCATCTCTGTCTCTGTCCCTCTGTCCCTGTCCCCTCCACCCCATCTCTGTCCCTGTCTCCTCCATCCCTCTGTCCCTGTCCCCTCCACCCCATTGCTGTTGCTGTCCCCTCCACCCCTCTGTCCCCATCCCTCTGTCCCTGTCCCCTCCACCCCATTGCTGTTGCTGTCCCCTCCACCCCTCTGTCCCCATCCCTCTGTCCCTGTCCCCCCCCCCATCTCTGTCCTTGTCCCCCCACGGCTGTCACTGTCCCCTCCAGCAGCCACCCCCTGCATCAAGGCCATCAGCCCCAGCGAGGGCTGGACCACAGGCGGTGCCACCGTCATCGTCATTGGGGACAACTTCTTCGATGGCCTCCAGGTGCTCTTCGGCACCGTGCTGGTGTGGAGCGAGGTACGGCCGGGGTGGCGCGGGGACACCTTGGGGACACCCTGGGGACACCCTGGGGACACCGCTGAGGCCGTGTGTCCCCCCCACCCCGCAGCTCATCACCCCCCACGCCATCCGCGTGCAGACGCCCCCCCGGCACATCCCGGGGGTCGTGGAGGTGACATTGTCCTACAAGGCCAAGCACTTCTGCAAGGGCGCCCCGGGACGCTTCGTCTACACTGGTGAGGGACAGCGGGGACAGGGACATGGGGACACTGGGGGTGTGGGGAGGTGACATTGTCCTACAAGGCCAAGCGCTTCTGCAAGGGCGCCCCGGGATGCTTCGTCTACAGCAGGGACAGGGACATCGGGGCTGGGGACATTGGGGTTGGGTGAGGAGGGGACATCGGGACTGGGACGTTGGGGTTGGGGTGGAGACATCAGGGTTGGGATGGGGACATTGGGACTGGGGACATCAGGGCTGGACTGGAGACACTGGGACTGGGGACATTGGGACTGGGATGGGGGGATGTGGGATTGAGACAGGGACACCCAGGAATGGGATAGAGACCCAATCCCAGGAGGGCAACTGGGATTGGGATAGAGACACCTGGGACTGGGATGGGGACATTGGGGTTGGGGTGGGGACATTGGGACTGGGGACATCAGGGCTGGACTGGAGACACTGGGACTGGGGACATTAGGACTGGGACATCAGGACTGGACTGGGGACGTTGGGGTTGGGATGGGGACATCGGGACTGGGATGGGGACATTGGGACTAGGGTGGGGACATTGGGACTGGGGACATCGGGATTGGGATGGGGGACCTGGGATTGAGATAGGGACACCCAGGAATGGGATAGAGACCCAATCCCAAGAGGCCAACTGGGATTGGGATAGAGACACCTGGGACTGGGATGGGGACATTGGGCTTGGGGTGGGAACATCGAGACTGGGGTGGGGACACCTGGGAATGGGATGGAAACACCCAGGGTTGAGATGGGGACATTGGGAATGGGGTGGGGACATCGGGATTGGGGACACCTGGGAACGGGGTGGGGACATTGGTGATGGGATGGGGACATCTGGGAATTGGGTTTGGGGTGGGGACACCTGAGAATGGGATAGAGAGTCTTGGGGTTGGGCTAGAGACACCTGGGAATGGGATGGGGACACCTGGGAATGGGATGGAGACCACTGGGATTGGGATGGAAAGTCCTGGGCTGGGGACACCTGGAATTGGGATGGGGACACCTGGGACTGTGACATGCACTCGTGGGATGGGGACACAAACGCCAGGAAAGGAACGCAGACCCCGGGAAGGGGACAGAGCCCCTGTGACAGTGACACAGACACCTGGGACAGTGCCATGGACCCTGGGACAATGTCCTAGCCCCTGGGGGACATTGTGACAGTGAGGGCGGTGTCCCCTGTCCCCAGCCCTGAACGAGCCCACCATCGATTACGGGTTCCAGCGGCTGCAGAAGGTGATCCCGCGGCACCCCGGGGACCCCGAGCGCCTGCCCAAGGTAGGGGACAGTGACACCCCTGGGGGACAGTGACAGCAACACCCCTGGGGACACGGGGCAAAGGGCAGGGAGGGGGTGACAGTTGTTGTGTCCCCTGGGTGTGGCAGGGCTTGGGGCAGGGAGGGATGTGAGGGTTGGGGACACAGGGGGGACACGGCGGGGTCACTGGGGACACAGAATGGGGACACAGGAGGGGCACTGGGGACACAGAATGGGGACATGGGGTGACCATGGAAGGGGACAAGGGGGTGGTCACTGGAGGCACAGAACGGGGGACACAGGGGGGACATGCCAGGGGGGTCACTGGGGACACGAAATGGGGACACAGGGGGACCACAGGGTGTGGACTGGGGGTGCAGCACCCCCTGACCTCCCTGTCCCCTCCCTGTCCCCTCTCTGTCCCCTTGCTGTCCCCAGGAGGTGCTGCTAAAGCGCGCGGCCGACCTCGTGGAGGCGCTTTATGGGGTCCCCCACAGCAACCAGGTATGTGGGGACCCCTTGGGGACACTCCTGGGACACCCTTGGAACTCACCTGGGACCCCCCGTCCTGGGGACAACCCCTGGGACCCCCCCAGTGTCCCCTGGGAACCCTCTGGGAACCCCCCTGGGACACCCCTGGGAACCCCTTGGGGACACCCCTGGGAGTCCCCACCCTGGGACCCCCCTCGAGTCCCCCCCTGCCACACCTGGAGGGTCCCAGTCCCCTCCCCAGCCCTGGGAGGTGACACCAGCTGGGACAGTCCCAGCCACCCCCGGCCCATGCCAGGGTCACCCTGGGCTCTGTGGGTGGTGGGGGTGGCACTGTGGGGTGGCACTGTGGGGTGGCACCAAGAGGTGACACTGTGGGGTGGCACTGTGGGGTGGCACCAAGAGGTGACACTGTGGGGTGGCACCGAGGGTTGACAGCAAGGGGTGACACTATGCTGGAGGGTGGCTCTGCAGGGTGACATCAAGGGGCGGCACTGTGGGGTGACACTGAGAGGTGACACTGCGGGGGGCACCATCGAGGGGTGGCAATGAGAGGTGACACTTTAGGGTGACGCTGTGCTGGAGGGTGACACTGTGGGGTGACACCAAGGAGTTACTCTGTGGGGTGACACCGTGAGGTGACACTGAGGCGTGGCACTGCAGGGTGACATCGAGGGGTGACATTGTGGGGTGCCACCCAGAGGTGCCACCAAGCAGTGCCACCCTCCCTCGGTGACACCGCTGCCGTGTCCCCAGGACGTGCTGCTGAAGCGGGCGGCCGACGTGGCCGAGGCGCTCTACAGTGTCCCCAGGGCCCCCGCGCATGTCACTGTCCCCTCCTTCGGCGGGGGACAGCTCGGCCTTGCCATGGGCGACTCCCCGCAGGGCTCCGAACAAGGTGTGCGGTGGCCTCAGAGTGGCGGGAGGGACTTTGTCCCCTCCCCGGGTGGTGCCACCTGTCCCTGTCCCCTCAGGGCTGTGACCAAGGTGCCCGGTGGCCTCGGGGTCGTCTCAGGGTGGTGGGAAGGCTTTTGTCACCTCCCCGGGTGGTGCCACCTGTCGCTGTCCCCTCAGAGCTCCCCATAAAGTGTGCGTGGTTGCCTCGGGGGGTTGTGTCCCCTGTGCAGGGGATGCCACTGTGTCCCTGTCCCCTCAGTGCCGTGACCAAGGTGTGAGGTGGCCTCGGGGTGGTGGGAAGGTTTTTGTCCCCTCCCCGGGTGGTGCCACCTGTCCCTGTCCCGTCTGAGCTCTGTCCAAGTTGCGTGGTGACCTCAGAGTGGCGGGAGGGCTTTTGTCCCGTCCCCGGGAGATGCCACCTGTCCTTGTCCCCTCAAGGCTGTGACCTAGATGCAAGGTGGCCTCGGGGTCATCTCAGGGTGGCGGGAAGGTTTTTGTCACCTCCCCGGGTGGTGCCACCTGTCGCTGTCCCCTCAGGGCTCCCCATAAAGTGTGCGATGGCCTCGAGGTCACCTCAGGGTGGCGGGAAGGTTTTTGTCCCCTCTCCATGAGGTGCCACCTGTCCCTGTCCCCCCAGGAATCTGACCAAGGTGTTCGATGGCCTCGGGGTGGCCTTGAGGTGGCGGGAGGGCTTTTGTCCCTTCCCTGCCTGGTGCCACCCGTCCCTGTCCCCTCAGGACTGTGACCAAGGTGTGAGGTGGCCTCAGGGTGGCGGGAAAGTTTTTGTCACCTCCTCGGCTGGTGCCACCCGTCCCTGTCCCCTCAGGGCTCCCCATAAGGTGTGCGATGGCCTCGGGTGTTGTGTCCCCTATGCAGGCGATGCCACCTGTCCCTGTCCCCTCTGGGCCCTGTCCAAGGTGCGAGGTGACCTTGGGGTAGTCTCGGGGTGGCAGGAGGGCTTTTGTCCCCTCACCAGGAGGTGCCACCTCTGGCTGTCTCCTCGGGGCTCTGTCCAAGGTGTTCCATGGCCTCGGGGTGTCCTTGGGGTGGCGGGAAAGTTTTTGTCCCCTCGCCAGGAGGTGCCACCGTGTCGCTGTCCCCTCGGGGCTCTGTCCAAGGTGTTCCATGGCCTCGGGGTGGCGAGAGGGCTTTTGTCCCCTCGCCAGGAGGTGCCACCCCTGGCTGTCCCCTCGGGGCTCCCCATAAGGTGCTCGGTGGCCTCGGGGAGCTGTGTCCCCTCCCCGGCGGATGCCACCGTGTCGCTGTCCCCGCAGGGCTGTGACCAAACCGCACGGTGTCCCCGGGGCAGGGTGGGGGCGCTCCGGAGTGTCTCTGTCCCCTCTCCAGGAGGTGTCACCGTGTCGCTGTCCCCGCAGGGTTCTCGCGCAGCCCCGGGACGCCCCCGGCGCGGGGGTTCGGCCCCCCGGGCTCGGCCCCCCAGCCCGGCTTCGCCGGGGCCACCGGGGGCTTCGGCGGGGCCACCATGGCAGGCCTGGGGGTGCCCGGGTCCCCTCCGAGCTTCCTGAATGGCTCCACCGCCACCTCCCCCTACGCCAGTGAGTGACACGCCTGGGGACACCCCTGGAGGGAGGGGACACGGGTTCCTGGGGGTCCCCAAAGCCGTGTGACAGCCCTGGGGGCGTTCCTGAAGTCATGGCCCCTCGCAAGGGGTCCCCAAAGTCATTGTGGGGTCCCCAGAGTCACGAGCCAGCCCTGTGGGGTCCCCAAAGCCGTGTGACAACACTGGAGTGGCCCCAAAGCCACCACTGAGGGTGGGAGGGAGCGGGGACATGGCCAGCTGAGGTGGGACAGCCCTGTCCTTGTCCCCATCCCTGTCCTGGCCCATCATCATCATTGTCCCTGTGCCTGGCTCTCTCCCTGTCCCTGTCCCCATCCCTGTGCCTCTCCCTGTCCCCTTCCCTGTCCTTGTCCCTTTCCCCATCCTGGCCCATCGTTGTCATTGTCCCTGTGCGTGCCTCTCTCCCTGTCCCCATCCCTGTGCCTGTCACTATCCTTGTCCCCTTCCCTGTCCTGTCCCCATCCCCGGCCCTGTCCCTGTCTCTCCCTCTCTCCCTGTCCCTATCCCCATCCTTGTCCCCATCCTGGCCCTGTCCTGTCCCCATCCCTGGCCCCATTCTGGCCCTCTGCTTGTCCCTGTCTCTGCCTCTCCCTGTCCCCATCCCTGTCCTGTCCCCATCCCTGTCCTGTCCCTGTCCCCATTCTTGTCCCCATCCTGGCCCTGTCCTTGTCTCTGCCTCTCTCCCTGTCCCCATCCCTGTCCCTGTCCCCGTCCCTCTCCTGTCCCCATCGCTGTCCCTGTCTCACCCCTGTCCCCTCTCAGTCCTGCCCGCCAGTCCCCCGCTGGGCGCCTCGTCCGTCGCTGTCACCTCGGGCGCGGGCACTGCCACCTCCTCTCCGGGTGGCTTCTCCTTCTCCCCGGTGACGATGATCTCGGCCGTGAAGCAGAAGAGCGCCTTCGCCCCCGTGCTGCGCCCGCCGGGGTCCCCCCCGCCCGCCTGCGCCAGCGCCCTGCAAGGTCAGCCTGTCCCCAAGGCCACCAGGGCCACCAAGGCCACCACGGTCCCTGACACCCAGCCCTGGGTGGCCCCAGCCCCGTGGAGGGTCCCCGGTGTCACCACACTGCTGATGTCCTGTGCCTGGGCATGGCTGGGGCTGACCTGTGCCACCTGTGTCCCTCTCTGTCCCCCATGTCCCCAGGGTCCCTGACATCTGTCCCCAGTGGCCCCAATGCCATGGAGGGTCCCTGGTGTCACCAAGCTCCTGACATCCTGTACCTGGGCATGGTTGGGGCTGCCCTGTGCCACCTGTGTCTCTCTCTGTCCCCAGTGTCCCCAAAGTCCCTGACATCTGTCCTTGGGTGGCCCCAGCCCCATGGAGGGTCCCCGGTGTCACCACACTGCTGTGTCCTGTGTCTGGGCATGGTTGGGGCTGCTCTGTGCCACCCTTGTCCCTCTCTGTCCCCAACGTCCCTGACATCTGTCCCCAGTGTCCCCAACGTCCCTGATATCTGTCCCCAGCCCCATGGAGGGTCCCTGGTGTCACCATGTCCCTTGCACCTTTCTGGGTCTCTGGTCAGGGCTCTGCTATTTGCCTCTTGTCCCTCTCTGTCCCCAGCGTCCCCAAGGTCCCTGTCATCTGTCCCCAGATGGCCCCAGCCCCATGGAGGGTCCCCAGTGTCACCACACTGCTGTGTCCTGTACCTGGGCATGGTTGGGACTGCTCTGTGCCACCCTTGTCCCTCTCTGTCCCCAGTGTCCTGAGTGTCCCCAAGGTCCCTGACACCCTGGTGGTTGGGTGGAGGGTCTCTGGTGTCACCGTGTCCCTTGCACCTTTCTGGGTCTCTGGTCAGGGCTCTGCTCTGTGCCACCCCTGTCCCTGTCCACCAGTGTCCCCAGGGTCCCTGACATCTGTCCCCAGCCCCATGGAGGGTCCCTGGTGTCACCACACTGCTGTGTCCTGTGCCTGTGCATGGCTGGAGCTGCCCTGTGCCACCCCTGGGGCCTGTCCCGCTGCGTCCCCAGTGTCCCCAAGGCCCCCAGTGTCCCCAACACCCACCCCAAGTTCCCCTGCCCGACGGAGGGTCCCCGATGTCACTGCACTCCCTGCCTGATGTCCCTGCCCATGTGATGCCCATACCTGGGGTTGTCCCATACCACCAGTGTCCCCAATGTCCCCAGTGTCCCCAACACCCACCCAAGTCCCCGTGCCCAATGGAGGGTCCTTGATGTCCCAGCCCATGGGATGACCATTCCCAGGGTCGTCCCATGCCACCCGCGTCCCTGTCCCCCAGTGTCCCCAATGTCCCCAGTGTCCCCAACTGTCCCACAGAGAGTCCCCAGTGTCACCACACTCCCTGCCTGATGTCCCTGCCCTGTGCCACTTATGTCCCTAGTGTCCTCAGTGTCCCCAATGTCCCCTGGCTGACGCTGTCTCCACCCTGCCCAGACCCAACTTTCGAGGACTCGGACAAATTCCACGCTCCGGCGCGGCCGCTCCAGGGATTGGCCTATTCCTAAGGACGGCGTCTCCGGAGGGGCTCCAGACCCCCCATCCCACCGGGACAAGGACTGGGGACATCCCTGCCCCCTCCCCTCGGAGCTGGGCGGAGCCGCCAGGCCCAGCGGGATGAGGGGACCCGGCCCCCCGATGTCCCCACCCTGGGTGGCCCCAGCCTGGCCCGGCTGAGGGGGGACTTGGGGAAATCCTGGAATGAGCCAAAATTCCTGGGTTTGGCCTCGGGAAGAGGCGGAGAGAGCCGGGAATGGGGTGGAGGAGGGAGAGGGGCGGAGGCGGCGGGAGGGGTGGCCCAGGATGGGAGGGATGATCCAGAAAAGGATGGAAGCTCTGGGATGAGATGGATGTTCCAAAGTGGGATGGATGGTCCAAGGTGGGATGGATGATCCGAGGTGGGATGGAAGCTCTGGAAAAGGATGGATGGTCCAAGGTGGGATGGATGATCCCCATGGGATGGATGCTCTGGGATGAGATGGATCATCCAAGGTGGGATGGATGTTTTGAGGTGGGATGGAAGCTCTGGAAAAGGAAGGATCATCCAAGGTGGGATGGATGCTCCAAGTTAGGGTGGACAATCCAGCTGGGATAGAAGCTCTGGGATGAGGTGGATGCTCCAGGTTGGGATGCATGCCCCAGGTTGGGATGGATGTTTTGAGGTGGGATGGAAGCTCTGGAAAAGGATGGATGCTCCAGGTTGGGATGGATGATCCAAGGTAAGATGGATGATCCAGGTGGGATGGAAACTCCAGGATGGGTTGGATGATCCAGGTGGGATGGATGTTCCAATGTGGGATGGAAGCTCTGGAAAAGGATGGATGATCCAAGGTAGGATGGATGATCCACATTGGATGGAAGCTTCAGGATGGGTTGGATGATCCAGGTTGGGATGGATGCTCTGGGATGAGATGGATGCTCCAAGGTGGGGTGAATGATTCAGGAGGGATGGATGATCCAGGATGGGATGAAAGCTCTGGAAAAGGAAGGACGATCCAAGGTGGGATGGATACTCCAGGATGGGAGGGATGTTCTAGGAGGGATGAAAGCTCCAAGGTAGGATGGAAGCTCTGGAAAAGGATGGATGATCCAGATGGGAGAGATGATCCAAAGTGGGATGGATGCCCTCAAATAGTGTGGATATTGAGGATTAGAGGGATGATCCAGGAGAAGATGGATGCTGGGGAGGTGATCTAGAGTGGGATGGATGGATGGATGATGGATGGATGGATGATGGATGGATGATGGATGGATGGATGATGGAATGAATGGATGATGGATGAATGGATGGATGATGGATGGATGGATGAATGGATGGATGAATGGATGGATGGATGGATGGATGGATGGATGGATGATGGATGGATGATGGATGGATGATGGATGGATGGATGAATGGATGGATGAATGGATGGATGGATGATGGATGAATGGACGGATGATGGATGATGGATGGATGGATGGATGGATGATGGATGGATGGATGATGGATGGATGGATGATGGATGGATGATGGATGGATGGATGGATGATGGATGGATGGATGGATGGATGATGGATGGATGGATGGATGGATGATGGATGGATGATGGATGATGGATGGATGGATGATGGATGGATGATGGATGATGGATGGATGGATGATGGATGGATGATGGATGGATGATGGATGGATGGATGGATGATGGATGATGGATGGATGGATGATGGATGGATGATGGATGGATGATGGATGGATGATGGATGGATGATGGATGGATGGATGATGGATGATGGATGATGGATGGATGATGGATGGATGATGGATGGATGACGGTTGGATGACGGATGGATGACGGATGGATGACGGATGGATGGATGGATGGATGGATGGATGGATGAATGGATGATGGATGGATGGATGATGGATGGATGGATGGATGGATGGATGGATGGATGGATGGATGATGGATGACGGATGGATGACGGATGGATGACGGATGGATGGATGGATGATGGATGGATGGATGATGGATGATGGATGGATGATGGATGGATGATGGATGGATGGATGGATGATGGATGGATGATGGATGGATGATGGATGGATGGATGGATGGATGGATGGATGGATGGATGGATGGATGATGGATGGATGGATGGATGGACGGATGATGGATGATGGATGGATGGACGGATGATGGATGGATGGATGGATGGAGGGATGGATGATGGATGGATGGATGGATGGATCCTCCAGGGTGGGAGGGCTGATCTGGGACAGGATGGATGCTCCCAGGAGAGATGGATGCTCCAAGGTGGGATGGATGCTCCGGGTGGGAATATCCTGGATCCCCCAGGACGGGATGGATGCTCCGGTGGGACCCGGCTCCTCCCGCCTTTCCCGGCTCTCTCCCCACTCCAATCCAGAGCCCCACCCACAATTCCAGAATCCAATCCCAGATCCTGGATCTCTGCCTGTCTGGGATCAGGGTCCTGGTGCCACCCGGGGCATGGGGACACCGCGGTCCCTGTCCCCTGCCATTAATTATCGCCATTATTAACGACATTCATTATCAGAACTATTTGGACCACAGGGAGGGGGGAGGTCCCTGGGTGTCCCTGGGTGTCCCTGTCCCCTCCCCCAGCCGGGAATTTTGTACATAAAACGGGAACAATTCCCAACATTCCCCCTTTTTTCCCGCTCGGGGGTGGCTCGTGTCCCTCCCCTCCGTGTCTGTCCCCTCTCGGTGTCACCGCGTGTCCCCCCCGCCCCGGGCTGGGGGGTGACCCTTGGGGACAATGTCCCCCCCTGCTCGCGGAGGTGGCGCAGGGTGTGGCCGGGGGGCCCGAACGGGAATTAAAGACCTCGTGGAAAAGCTGCGACTCCCGGGATTTGTCACCCCCCGGGATGGTGGCACCGGCGTCACCCCGCTGTCCCCAACCCTCGGGGACACAGCGGGGATGTCCCCACGCCCGGCCCCCGCTCATTCCCAACGCTGGAATCCCGGGAATGCTCCAGACCCCGGCCCCGTGTCCCCTCCCCCGCCCCCCCCCCAGGCCACCCCCGGTCCCCTCCAGCTGCGGTGTCACCTCTTGTCACCTCCCCCCGCCCCCGCGCGCCGGGATGAGCGCAGGAGGAGCTGGAATTAATTGCGTTAATCAAGAAAGGTTAATGAGGAGGTGGCGGTGCCAGCGCGGGGATGGGGGGGGGAGGTGGCACAGCTGGCACCGGCACGGGGACGGCGACACGGGGCGGGGACAGCGAGCGGCGACACGGGGCTGGGGACAGCCGGAGACCCCCGTGGGGACGGGGGTGACACCGTGACCAGCCTGGGGTGGTGGCACCGTGAGTGAGCGCGTGTGGCACGGGCGGTGGGGACAGTCACGGGTGTTGGGGACACTCACAGGTGATGGGGACACACGCAGGTCTTGGGGACAGTCACGGGTGTTGGGGATAGTCACGGGTGTTGGGGACACGCACAGGTGTTGGGGACATGCACAGGTGTTGGTGACATGCAGAGGTGTTGGGGACAGTCACAGGTGGTGGGGACACACACAGGTGTTGGGGACACACACAGGTGTTGGGGACAGTCACGGGTGTTGGGGACAGTCACGGGTGTTGGGGACACACACAGGTATTGGTGACATGCAGAGGTGTTGGGGACACTCACATGGCACATGTTGGGGACACACGCAGGTGTTGGGGACGGTCACAGGTGATGGGGACAGGCATGTGGCACAGGTGGTGGGGACATGCAAGTGGCACATGCCGTGGGGACACTCCCAGGTGATGGGGACATGCACGGGTGGTGGGGACACACAGAGGTGATGGGGACAGGTATGTGGCACATGCCATGGGGACACGCTCAGATGCTGGGGACACTCACAGGTGTTGGGGACATGCAAAGGTGTTGGGGACACTCACATGGCACATGTTGGGGACACATGCAGGTGTTGGGAACAGTAACAGGTGATGGGGACAGGCACATGGCACAGGTGGTGGGGACATTGACAGGTGGTGAGCTCATGCCCAGGTGTTGGACACATGAGGCATGGGTGTTGGGGACACACGCAGGTGTTGGGGACAGTCACAGGTGATGGGGACAGGCACGTGGCACATGCCATGGGGACACACTCAGGTGTTGGGGACATGCAGAGGTGTTGGGGACACACATGTGGCACTTCCCATGGGGACATTGACAGGTGGTGAGCTCATGCCCAGGTGTTGGGGACATGAGGTGGGGACAGGCAGGTGGCACCGGTGGTGGGGACACACAGATGGCCCTTGGCATGGGGACACCCATGTCCCCATGAGTGAGGACCTGTCTGGGTGTTGGGGACACACATGGGACACACTGTGGGGACACTCCCAGGTGTTGGGGACAGGCAGGTGGCACCGGCGGTGGGGACATGCATGTGGCTCTGGTTATGGGGACAATCCTGCGGTGGCACCGGTGGTGGGGACACTCGCAGGGCTTGGGGACACTCATGTGCCACAGGGCTTGGGGACACGCACCGGTGGCCCCTTCCCATTCCCGTGGGTGCCCTCGGCTTTGACCTCTCCCAAATCCTGAATTTCCCCCAAATCCTGAATTTCCCCCAAATCCCCAGGTCCCAGTCCCGGCTCTGCAGGGTTTGGGGTCGCGGCCGATCCCGGGATTTGGGGCTGGGAAAAATGGGAGGGGATAAAGCCAAGAGGGAAAAGCAGGAATGGGGTCAATAAACCCCAGGAAGGAAAAGCAGGAATGGGATAAAGCCAAAGAGGGAAAAGCGGGAATGAGGGGATGGGATCAGGGGGGGATATCAGGGAAAAGGGGGATCCCAGAATCTGGATCCCATCCTGGTTTGGGGTCAGATCAGGGATCCCAGATCCCATCCTGGTTTGGGGCAGGGTTGGGGATCCCAAATTCCAGAGCCCAGCTCCCATCCTGGTTTGGGGTGAGACTGGGGATCCTGGATCCCATCCTGTTTTGGGGTCAGATCAGGGATCCCAGATCCCATCCTGGTTTGGGGTGGGACTGGAGATCCCAGATCCTGGATCCCATCTCAGTTTGGGGCAGGATTGGGGATCCCAGATCCCGAATTCTGGATCCCATCCTGGTTCGGGGTGAGACTGGGGATCCTGGATCCCATCCCAGTTTGGGGCAG